AAAAACAAACAAAGTTATTGAAAACTTAAATAATTGTGAGTAGTTTTCTTGACGTTCTTGTTTCCTAGAGTGGTTGTATAGACTTGTAGTTTTCTCCATCTGTTTTATAACGCAGTTCGTACTTAAGTTTCTTTCATGACAGTTGAGTTAATAACAGTAATGTCATTGTAATGTATCTTTTGCGTTTATTTTACAGGAGTTTCAGCACTCAAGTTATGAATTTAATTGACTTTCTTCATTTTGTTTTTAAGCATGCAAAGATTAACTTGAAGAAGACCCTACTTCTTGCACTAAGGATATCTACAGAGCTGGAAAAACAGTCCAGTGAGTTGCTTGGGGCTATCACTAATGTAATAGGAATGCGTCCTGAAAAACATTAACTTGATGTAAGTAGGAGTGGAAATATCCAGAATTAAAAAAAAAAAAAGTTTTATTTTCAATTTTCTTTCTAACATAACAAAGAACCAATTCTATACGACTGAATATTAATAATGAAGAAAACATTTAAACTGAAAGTTTCTCACGATAATGAGAAGTATTTTTTTTATATCAAACTTTTGTCATTTTTGGGCACAACATAAGCTTCCAGTTGTTCTCACCCTTAAGGCTAAAGATCCTGCTCATATAGAAATATGTAAAGGGAGAAGAAGGAAATCCTTATATGATTTCATTATGAAGAATTGAATTTCACTATGAAGTTTCTAAAACCAACAGACTATTTAGGAGTTATATCCTGTTCTTGAGATGTTTTTATGACAATATTTTTAGGAGTTTCAGAGGTTTTCACAGACTGTATATGTTAACTTTGGTTCACTAAATAAGGGGCAGAAATTATTACATCACTAAACAGTTTTATAATACTGAAACAAGCATTGAATTCCTTATAAAATGTTATGTAAAATTACAATATATTATGAGACAAAAACTTAAATGGTAAAAAAATAAAAACATTCCAGAATGTTCTAAGAGCCTTGGGATGACATATTGAACTTGTTTCTAGCCTTTACGACCAACTTTTCATTATTTCTTATCTTACCTCCCTCTCCTTTATATATTTGTTTTCATATAAAAGATAATATGATGTAAGGCCAACAGTGGTAAGTTGTCCATGTTGATGACAGGCTTCCATCTAACAACTAAGTTCTTCTGTTCAGTTATTAACAGTTTCAATTATATAACCAAGAAATATTATATATATTAATCACTGCCATTCACAACTGCATAGAAAATAACTTAAAATCATTATTTCGTTTTCAAGTTTTAGATATTCAAGAAGCTGCCTTTGATCGGATACTTGAGTCGTGTCTAGGCTAGGTTCACATGTTATTAAATGGCTTCTTTTATAGCAATTCTACCACATAACAAATTATTTAAGCATGACACCACATTCCCGGCAGTCAGACCACACGTTTACCTAGTCTACGGATTATTTGTGGACTTTTTTTTTTTTCCTTGAAGAAATATTATGGCCAGTTTTTTTTAGCTAACATTATTAATCAAGATGTCCTTAAAATAAGGTAGCTGTCCAGGGAAGTTATAAAAAGTTCCTCACTGATTTTTTCAACCTGAAGCATCAGCTAAAGTAATATCCATAATTCTTATCCAGTTGTATCTTTCATTGATACTGAAATTATATTGTATGAAGTCTTTACTTTAATTCCATAGGCTATATGTCTATTTCCATGAAGTTATTCAACAATTCTCGCAGTACCTGATGTTCTTTTTTTTATTTCCTTGTTTTTGTAGAGTTTATTCTCTAAATGTATAAAATAGTTTTCTTTTAGGCTTGGTATAGGTTTCAAACCACATGTCGTGCATAATTTTTTACAAAAAAAAGCTCCATTTTGTGAAATATTTATGTTTTTAGTGCTTCTTGTGACTGGTTAATTAAATGATTAAAAAAAGGCTAGTAACTCGTAAGGTTGAATTAATGCCTTTTCCCATTTTTGAGGCAAGTGTACATTGTAAGCTGCTAGAAAAGCATACCATTCAGGCTTATGTGGGAAAAGTTAAGTAACTTAGCTTAGTTGATGTTTGAATCCCCGTCTATCCTAATTAGCTTAGCTTCCAATGTAATTAGTACCTACATCTCTCTTCAGCCACTTAGCTCATATGATATTTGAACCTGCATTTTATTACCACATTTCTCCTGATCAGCTCAGCACAGCTACCAATTGAACTTACAATTTCTCCTGAGTAGGCCTAGTGGATAGGGCATATGACTCACAATCCCCAGGTTGTGAGTTCTAATTCTGTCACTGAACTTACTGACTCTTTCAGCTGAAGGAGTATTTTAATGTGATGGTAAAGGATAGCCCAAAAGTTGGCAGTGGATGATGATGACTAGCTGCCTTCCCTCTATCTTTGTGTGAAATTTAACAAACTCTGCTAAGCATCTCAGCTTACATGACATTTAAATCTACATTTCTTCTGAGCTGCTTAGCTCATATGGCATTTGAATATATATTTTTCAAAAGCTTAGCTAAAATTATTATAGATTTATTATTTGTTTGTATAAAAGCCAAGATTTTTTAAGCCCAAACGTCTTACTTTGCGGGAGATATGACACAGTTTCACTAGTAGGTTAGTTGGGTGCTATTGAAACAAAATAACACATTACCACCCTTGTGGTGTTCTAGTATGTTCTTTCAGGTGCAGAAAGTGTAACCTTTTCCAATAGAAATGTTTGATGAAAAAAAAAAGGGTATTCTGATGATAAAGCTGCATGAATTTTTACAAATTATGAACAAAAAAAAACGTTTTAATAAACCATGGAACTTTAGTATTTGGATAATTTTCAGTTGCAGTTTGAATTACGTTATTTCACTCCTTTACAGTTTAGGTTTCTTTATTATTATTTCTAAGAAACATTATTATGTTCTTGTAACAATTCTTAGCTTAAGGAAGGTCAGGTTAAATTGAAATATGTTTTGGCAGTTGTATTCACTTCCAGTGGAATAACAGATTGATAAAATACTTTTTTAAATTTCCTTCTCTGCTATGACAACTTTAAAATTTTAAGTTCATACTCTATGTACTTATAAAGTGGAGTCAGTTATTTTAATAAGCATCTTTCTTCCAAGTCTAATAGTGTTGTTAGAAAGAGTGTAGTTTACATCCAATGAATTTATTCTGTGACAAAAAAAAAATCAGTTTAAGAAGATATGTTCCTCATTAAATTTCCTTCTCTGCTATGACAACTTTAAAATTTTAAGTTCATACTCTATGTACTTATAAAGTGGAGTCAGTTATTTTAATAAGCATCTTTCTTCCAAGTCTAATAGTGTTGTTAGAAAGAGTGTAGTTTACATCCAATGAATTTATTCTGTGACAAAAAAAAATCAGTTTAAGAAGATATGTTCCTCATTGACAGCCACTAATCCACACCATTAATAAATAGTGTTTGTATCAACACACTTTCTACATGTAAATGCACAGGGATAAGAATAAATTACTATTATCACATGTCCTAGAGATGCAGATTAAAATTACATTGATATTGTGATATTTTCTCTGCATTATGTTTCAAATTCAGCATTTATACGGTTGTTGCAGGATTAAATGTTACGTCCATATTACGAATTTACCAATCAGCAATTGTGTATTACGTGATAGGGAAGAGCATCATGGGTATCCTGGTAAATCACCGTAATGTAGAAAATATTCAAATGTTATTACAGTTAGTAAAGTAATAAATAAGAAAATTTTAAATTTGGACATTTTGATGTTTTACGTAAAAAATACGAAGGAATCCATTTTTTTTTCTCTCTCCTCGTGAACAAATAAAAAGGCCCCCATTTTTTCAAAGTAGTTGGGACCCACAAGCTCTTATGGTTTTTGTAGTATTGAAATTCTTCAAGTGTAGTATATAGCAGTCGCTGCTCATTAGTTACCGAAGCATAAAATACGAGTTCTTAGCTTGTTGTTGCGTCATGGGAATAGAAACTCAAATCAGACTTTAAGCCTTCTTCACAGTTGTACATACTATGTTAAAAAGATTTGTTTTTGCTCAGTGATATATTTTATGAAATTATTCAACTTGTATCTCAAATAAATAAACATCCCCCTCCCCCTTTTTTTTATATCTCAAAATTTAGTATAAATGTTATTTTTTGTTTAATTGTTAGCTGATTTTATGCCTTGCATTTGTAATTTTAGTCTCTAAAATAAGAGTACACATGGGGGAAAAGCCAGACCTTACAAGTTTAAATAGCATTATATTCACCAGAAGTGAAGTTTTGAGTTTCTGAAGTATCGAAACAGTTAAACCATAGACCAAGGGTTCCCAAATTGGAGGCTATAGGAAAGTATTGGGGAAACCATACTAAATACACAATACTGTTAAGGTACTCACTATCTATAGGACCCAGCACTGCCAGGTCATTAGGGAACCTGACTCGCAATCAATCTGCGGGTCGCGGGTTCGATTCCCCGTCACACCAAACATGCTCGCCCTTTCAACTGTGGGGGCATTATAATTTGACGGTCAATCCCACTATTTGTTGGTAAAAGTGTAGCCCAAGAATTGGTGGTGGGTGGTGATGACTAGCTGCCTTCCCTCTAGTCTTACACTGCTAAATTAGGGACGGCTAGCGCAGATAGCACTCCTGTAGCTTTGCACGAAATTCAAAAACAAACACTATCTATAGATTTATTTGGGGTGGGGGCTCAGTTAGGATACAGAAATGTTCTGGTGGACATTGTGCTGAAAAAGTTTGGGAGCCCATGACCCTTATAATATATGGGTTGCTATCATGGCATATGCTGAATTTTCTATTGTTTTATAACTTGCACATTTACAGAAGGACACAGTAATTCTGAATAGTACTACCATCTGGTATTTTACTTTACTGATCCCGCCATGACAGCTCATTTAACTTGGCGAGTTAGGGCCACTTTGATGTCGTATTAAGCTTGTTTGTATGATGAGGAAAAAAATATGTATGTTTAAACACTAAAAGGTCCGACATTATGTTGTATGAAGAAAGATTAAAGAATTTAATGACTTTTTTTTTTCTAGTCATTATTGTATATTTTTTCATGAATTTTGATATTCCTAAGATGTTAAAACTTGTCTTCAAAATGTCATGGAATTACATACGAGAACCTGGTTTGTTTTAGTTAGTTTTACTCGAATCTGTAATACATTTATTTATTTTTATTCCAATAAAAACCTTGGTGATTAATGTGAATTCATGTTCCTTGCATTTAGCAGTAAACTTGTGACCAATTTGTATACTTTTTAGATAAAACAGTTTAAGATTAAACAAGTCATCATAAACCAGTATAACAAACATATAATTATTTCCACTTTTTGCCAATATTACAATAACGTATGGGTTCATATATATATGTATATCAGCTCGTATCTTCCATAGTTCTGCTATGTACACACATTTATAAAAGTTCTTATTTTTTCTGTCTATCACCACAGAGAAACCCAACACCAATAGCTGAAGAATAACACTGCAGCCTTTCAGACTAATCTCGTAGCTATGGCAAAGAAAGAAGGAATGTATACATATTATGTGCATTTTTAATGCACCATTCATTTAACAACAATGACAAACATATCTTGTCAACAACAACAACAGTATTCTATTCAGTTTGTTTGTGTTCAGAGCAGTGTTTAAAGGTTGCTTGTTCTTGTTATCTGGATTCTGCCTAGATTTGTGGTGTTACAAATTCTCCAGTCCGACTTGCAGGCGAGTGCAGTTTAACTGGATGGTTTTGTTTTTCCCTGAGTTAAATGGAAATTCAATTTTCTAATTAGTTTTTTTTCTTCTTTATTACATCTTGGGCCATTTCTTGATTCAAATTATATAAAACTATTTCCAGCACACAAAAAAATTGGAATATGGCAGTGATTTTTTTTTTCTTCTTCTTCTACACAAATAAGCATATAGAAAAACAGATCACCAAATTGTGTATCGTGACAGTGAAGGTTTATCATATACAACTAGGCCAACAGCAGAGCACAAAACAAGAAACTGGTAAACTTGCATTAAAAGCCTTGTATTTCGAGTGATGTTCACTAGGACCATGTTTCTTTTTTTTTTAAAAAAAAAAACCTTCTGGCATCACAGTTTCTTACACTGGTTGTTTTGCATCCTGTGGTGGGTTTTGTTTTTTTACTTTGACATCAGGTCACTCGGGATGATTTAAACACAAAGATCAGTCATACTTGTCTACATCTGAAGTTGCTAGTACAACAATATGGGTTCGAAACAGAAGATGCTAATATTTAATAAATGTTATTTTTTTCTTGTATGTAACATCTCTGTTAGAAGAGTCTGCGTTGATGCATTACTACTAAGCATCTTGTAGTACAGAAAGTCTTCGCCTTGTGTACTGATGTGCCTTAATTCAGTCATAGTCTGGAGAAGATGACCATACTTGTCCTGCAAGAGAGAGAGAGACGAAATTTAGATACTTGCGTTTCCTTGGTTAACTTTAAATAATCTGCACAGATTTTAGTTAAATTATCATGGAAAGCTAGCTGTACATGTTGGAACTCAAAAACAAACCCTGTCCCCTGCAAAAGGTAGGTCACTAGTAACTAGGTAGAATTGTTTTTAAGTCTTTTTTACTGCATGAAATATAAAAACAAAATCGTTGGTTGTACCTCGCAAAGTTGTCAGATTCTGATGACATCATCTTTCTGGAACTTGAAGAAATCATTTTTGGTGCATCATTACATTCTAGTCACATGGCGGTTTCAGATATATAGTCAGTGATGTAACTACCAATAAGTTATTTGAAACTTGGGCATAAATGGAGAAGATAAGGGTTGAAAGTTCACTAGGAGACAGTTATGTTATGGAGAGAAATATTCTTAATGCAAGTTGTATTTGTTGCGATGAAAAACATTTAAAGACCATAAGGTACATAATAACAGAGAAGCAGAAACTTTACATCATAAACTATTTAGAGATCTTTACTCAAAAACCTGCAGTACGTGACATCTGTTTAGACTTGTTCTTTGCCTCTTACGGAGATTACTCCAATTATTTACATACACAAATTAGATGGATTACGAGATGTGGCAGATGGCCAAATGATTAAAATTAAATGGTTTGTATTGTAAAGAAACGCAAAGATTAGAAGGAGAAAAACATTTATCTTCTGTGATAATTCTGGTAGTCCCCCCCCTACATTTATACTCCCGAATAATAATAATAATTATAAATAATGTTATTATAACAAGTTACTGGTAAGCAGCGAAAGTACATTCAGCTTAATTTAAGTTTACAGACTATATAAATCATCAATAATAAGTACATGAAGTATCAAATCTAATCTTTATCAGTATATTTAAAATAATTAATGAATTAAAGTTCCAGTAGATGGAGCTAGTTGTACACAAACATTTGTTTCGTTGCTTCAAATATATACAATAGAAAGTAGTTGTTTTTACCGGATATTCAGGATAAAATGAAGCGCAGTACTCCAATAAAGCCTGTCTGGTCCCCTCGTGTGCTTCATGAGTCAGCTTGACATTGGTAATTTGTGGGGCTTCTAATGGGGGTGAAAAAATTACATAACAGTAGTGCTACACAAATACATATTTGTTAAAATTAATCAAACTTTCTTTTGAAATCGAGATTTTATCTTAATAACCTACGGTTAGAGTTCGTACGTAAAATATAGGACACACCCAAACTTTCCCTTCTATTATTGAAATCACACAGAATTAAAATACGAAAACCATGACACAAAATTCCCTTGGAAATAATTAATTACTTTTCTTTACCCCCTCCCTTCCTTCTCTCTGACCGAGAGCGGCCCAGTAGTTAACGTACCGGACTGTAAACCCGAGGGTCCCTTTACCCTCCCCCCCAAAAAAAAAATTGCGCTCCGCATTTTAGGGCCGTGGATGCGTTATAAGGGTGACAGTCAAATTCGCTTAGATTAGTCCACGAGTTGGTGGGTAATGTTTACTAACCACCTTCCCCTCTAGGCTATCAGATTAAAATTAGGGACGGTTCGTGCAGATAGTGCACGAGTAAATTTGCGCGAAATTCAACAAGCAACAGAACCTAATTCTTTATTGTTTGTTTTTACTATAAAATCAGAAAATGGTGTTTTTTTTATATAATGCTGTATATGTAATGTGGCGTTTGGCATTTCTTTACTAACGCAGTTTTGATTCGATATTGCCTCACGGTGATCGTGGCCCATGTAATCGGTAAACAATAAACGAGTAACAACATGTTGCCCACTTTCAATTAGTTGGGATCAAACTGTGCTAAATTATAAATAAAATAAAAAATTGTTCTCGTATCATATATATTGTTCCTTAATATTCTTAAACAACCCCCCCCCCCCTCCCAGTGGCACGGTGGTATGTCTGCCGACTTATAACACTAGAAAGCGGGTTTCGATACTCGTGGTGGTCATGGCACAGATAGCCCATTGTTTAGCTTTGTGCTTAACTTCAAACAAAACAAAACACACACAAAAAAAACAACAACTTATTTTTCAAGTAAGTACAACTATAATCTTGTACAACCCTACTTAAAGAACGCGGAACTATCTGGAACCATACCGAGGCCAGAAGAACTGTTGGTTATTTCACTGCACTTAGATTTTGTTGCATAGTAAAAAGTGGCAAGTTTAAAAACACAATAATAAAGACGAGTGTGGTACTTCGTAATGGGTTGGAGTTTAAAAGAGTGTCTCATTACTCGACTCGCAATCTGAGGGTCGCGGGTTCGAATCCCCGTCCCACCAAACATGCTCGCCCTTTCAGCCGTGGGGGCGTTATAATGTAACGGTCAATCCCACTATTCGTTGGTAAAAGAGTAGCCCAAAGAATTGGCGGTGGATGGTGATGACTAGCTGCCTTCCCTCTTGTCTTACGCTGCTAAATTAGGGACGGCTAGCGCGCAGATAGCCCTCGTGTAGCTTTGCGCGAAATTCAAAACAAACAAACGAAATTACAAAAAAAATATCTTTCCAACGTATACCTCACCTGGATCAAGTAATATTAACATTTTGAGGCATATGTAGTCTATGCGATCGAACTTCAGATCCTGGAGTCTAACACTTAATCGATGGAACTGTTCGGATAAAGACCGGAGACCTAATAAAGCCATTTCTAGCAGATCGAATTTCTGTCCGTTTGGTAAGATGGTTTCTTCTTGGAGACAGTTATGGATTCGGTGATACATATGGTCCAGCAGAAGCAGGTCACTCCAAGAGTTCTGAAGAAGTTTCATTTGATCGTCAACCTGCGGGTAGAAAAGTTCGTAGTACATACTCACACAAACAAACCAATAAAAGACGGTAGAATCACACGTGTGAAAATTGTCATACTTTAGATGTCTCTATCTTTAAATAACACGTAAGAAAAAATTAACATTGATATCCCCCCCCCAACTTTTTGTAACAGTAAAACACCTAGTAGTACAGACCCATAGGAACTGGGAATTCGATCGAACCCCCCTAACTTTAAAAAAACAACACTAAGACCACTAGTAGTACAGACTCGTAGGAACTGGGAATTCGAAAGTTCGATCGTACTATCCCCCCCCCCCCAATTTTTTTAAAGCTAAAAGACCTAGTAATACAGACTCGTAGGAACTGGGGATTCGAAGGGTTCCACCGAATCCTTCCATGTGTATCTGTCCTGAACCTAGCTTTAATAAAACGTATCTATTTGTTAATTGCTATACAGGGGTTGTAAAAGATTTGCGGTGTTTTATATAACTTGTTTGATTAAGAAAACTATGTAAGCTGCCATAAGTGTATTGCGTGAGTAAAGTTCCATCCTCGACCCCCCCCCCCCCACACGGTTGTGTAAAGAGGGGTATGCATTCCTCGCCGTCTTATTTTATGTTTAAAAAAAACTGAAATACAGCATAAAAATGCTCCAATTTTGTATGATCGATGAACCCAGGTAGGACATGGCAGTATAAAGTATATCATACATTTGGTGAAAAGTCTAAATATACACACACACACAACAAAAAAAACTGTGCAGGCACGTCTTGATTAATAACCAGAGCACAGAAACCACTTCATGGGTTTCAGCACCAAAATAACAAGAACCTATCATTGTTTTCTGTGGGGGAAGAACATTAGCTTTACTCGCCACGTATTGAGCTTAGTTCCCCCCACAAAATCAGAATTTTGGTGATTTTATTTCTATTATTATTAGCCTAAACTGAACTAAATGTTCATTAATTTATGCTCGACCAGCACCACTTAAGTACGAAGAATGATTACCGAGCTACTTAATTAACGGAATGAACTTAGAAATAGTAAGCGTCCGAAACAGTTAAAACAAGAACCAACCAAATTAAAGAATCTGCCTTGTCCCACTGACCTACTTTTATGGCGATAATAAACGAAACAGCGAAAGTGTTTCGTGCACTCTCCGCTTGGCTAGTCGCCACCCCTGGGGATTTTTCCTAGATTCCTTCCCCCCTCCAATAACTCAGTGAGTCAGATGACCGCACCCATGCAGACGAAATAACCATTTACCAACAAGCGCACTAGCTGGATCTTACTACACGTTATTTGCCAGAAAAATATACCTGTTGGTTTTAGGGTGTGTTTTTTACTTCAGATCAGCGAGTTGAAAATGTTAATAAGAGATATTAAAACAACTTGTTTGCAGATTATTCAAATCAGCCATGCGGATGATAATGATACTGAGAAATATCGAATCATAGCGCAACAAAAACAGATAAATGTTCCTTAAAAAAATGCAGTGAAAAAAAAAATTAAACGAAAATATAAAGAACGTTTATTTGAGTAATGACAGTTTGTATGAATTAATAAAGTATCGCAAGTTTAACGTATGGGGGTGGGGCACCCCTAGTGGCTCAGCAGTAAGTCTGAGAACTTATAACGATAAAAATCGGGTTTCGATACATGCAGTGGACAGATAGTTCATTGGGTAGCTTTGCGCTTAACAACAGCGGCAAGTTTACTGACGTACAACGATAAAATATGGGGTTCGATTCCTCGCGATGTACACAACAGATAGCCTAATGTTGCTTCGCTTTAAAACAAACAATGTATAGGGCCTCCTTGCCCTATAAATAAAAAAAAATAAACAATTTAATGATAAATCAACTTTTATACAGAACCAATCCGTGAATATAACAGGTTAGTTTTATCCAGTTGAAACACAACTATAAAATGGTACATCATGGCTGAACACAGAGAGTGTAGTTGTGAAACACGCAAGTCTTTTTCTCTATTTTTCCCATAGATCGAGATCAAACAATTAACTGGTAGCCAACTGAAAACAAAGTTCACCATATAGTACATTCACAATAACTACGGTAATATCGGTAGAGGGCGCCTTTGAATGATAGAACGTCTAAAGTCTTAATTTCGCCCGTTTTAAATTACTGTTTGGAAACACTTGCTATATTATAAGTACATTTGGTGATAGGTAATTGAATATTCTTTGTGTATTTTTTTTAATCGGAATTTTATGAAATCGACAAAGGACAACAAAACCCGTGATAGAAATTTCTAGCTTTCATATTACGCTTCACACCGAGCTATAATTTAAAATTTAATAGCTAGGCATACTCCAACATATAATATGTACAGATAAAGAATAACTTGTTTTTTAGGTTCTTTGCGTGTTTTTATATTATTATTATTCAAAGTTAGCTGCTCTAAACGCGCGTGGAATTTTTGCAACCTGTACACCGTGTATACGGCACACTCTCATTCAACTGCCAGAGACTGACCGTACCCTATACGGCGAATTCTGTCTATGGTCCTGTACGATTGTAATCGTAAGAAGATTCTAGAAAAATGAGGATAGAGGATTTTGTGGCTTGTTTGTACCAGTGAACTTAAAAACATTGATTGACTAAACCGGTAATAATATTACTTTTAAGGGCAACATGGGACATGTTGGTTCACCTTTGGTTTTTATTCCTATTCATACTGGGTACAGGATTTCACACAATTAGTTAATAAAAAATATTTCAGTAGTGCACCTTTACACGCTTTTCTATTTTTAAGTTGTTGTTTTTCAGGATTGTACATCTATAGACGTAAAATAGTACAGTGCGTTCGTGGGAAGCACTTTAAACTTCTTTGAACTATGTAAAAATTAAATTATGTGTAGGGAAGTACAAGTGATGTCAACAAGTGTGTAGGGGGTGGGGTGGAACGTAGGTGGTACCATGCATTGCAAAGGGAGAGGAAATTAGGAAATGGATCTGTCATCCCTCAGAGCCCCATCTTAGACATTAGTGTTTATGTGTAACGGTTTTGTACGTGCATTTCTTAAGTGTCTATAAACAAATTAAGAAATGTTCAGTTTTAATACTTGTTCCCGATACCCAAGTTTTGAAAGCATCGCTAGATCTGGTGTCTCTTAACTAGATAAGTTTATCGGTTTGCCATTTGTGATCAGACCATTCGACTCGAAGTGCCTTTTGCACTAGATGTTTAGTTGGTTTAACCTCGCAGCCATGGAGACGCCTCGCACGGCCATCAGATTCGTTCAGAACTCTACGTACACCTAAACTCATGCGTGAGCAGTCTAGACAGGTCACTTAACTGTTTTAGTTACCTTAAATACACAGAATTACATTTATAAACTTTGTGCATTCAAGTGCAAAATACCACCACCACCACCACAACAACAACAACAAAAAACGTTTCGTGCTCGAAGCACAAGTTTTCTCCCTGATTTAACAATTAAAAGGAAATCCGTATCATTTAAACATTGCGAAGGTTGCTGATTTTGTATAACTTAGTTTCGTACAGGTACGAGAGTTTCAAAACGAAACTTTAATTGGGATATTTCTTAAATGTGTTCAGCGGTGAAAGTATAATAACTGGTTATATGATAGTTTTGGAAAATATTATATGTACATGGACCCCCCCCCCCTCAACTAAAAAAAAAAGAAAGAACAAAGTTGTTGGTAGAAAACTATTCTGTAATAGGTAACAGAGCGTATGCCCACGACAAGCTAAAAATTCCAGTTTCGAGCTATATCCTTGGAAACCAGCTGGATCAATACTATGTAATGCTAACCTTTTTATCTCTTTTTAGATGAGAAAATTGTTTCCTACTCAAAGTTCACATTTACGAAATAAAACTTGCTTAAAACACGAAGTATAAAATGTGTAATTTATTGTATTTAATATACTTATCCATGTTTCCAAAGACATTTTTAATACGTTATCTTTCTCCTTGGGTGTAACCGATTCTTTTATAAGCTTCACTTATCAGAAAGCAGATATGAGACTTCTAAAAGTTTACATATGATTAAATTCTCGCTAGTTCTAAAAAGATCAAAATCGGGGTACTTTTCTCACTTTTGAAAAGCTAACCCAGTTCTCAGAACAGTCCTAAACTCACGAATATACGAGATCATGACAGTCAGTTAATTTGATAATCCGTAAGTTGGTGGCGATCAAATCATCTGACCTGGTTCTTTACACGGACGGAGCCAGAACTAAACGTATCTATAATATGTAAGTAACAATGTAGCGATACGTAAAGTTATAATACGCTTTATACAAGGGTCATTTATTCAAGATTTTTTTTTGTTTTTTTAAGAATACAGAAGTTTTAAAACAAATCGTTATCTAGGGTCCGTTGTCACGTAACGGTTTCTCTAAATAAAATGGACAACATGAACGATTAAGGTTAAACGTGTGATTCTAGCCCCAAAACACACACACACACTTTTTCCTCTAACCTATAAACAATTACGTAACATACACGCACAGTTAAACAGTCAAGATATTTCCTTTAGCTAGAATAGTACGTAATTTTAAGCTTCAGTGAATTAGTAGGCAGAAAGTAATGACACACATGGTGCAAATATAAAAATGTTTAGTAAAAGTGTAAAGAACACAAGCTTCGAAACATAACCGCTAAAGATACACACAATATAATAACTTTTAAGTTAAAAAAAGCATTTAGATTTTAGTTAATTATCAGAGTATTTAGATGGAAGAACCCATTTAAACACAAATGGTAGTAAAAAATAAAAACAATGCCGGGTACCAAATAGAAGCTGACCCTCCACCTTTATTTAGAGCTCAGAACCAAATCAAAAAGCTGCCATCCCCCCACCTTTTAGTGCTCGGTAACAATCAAAACGATGTTCCCCTACCTTTGTTTAGTGCTCGACACTAATCCAGAAGCTGACTCAAACCTATGTTTAATGGCCGGTAACATCAGGATACGGACCCTGACCTTTGTTTATTTTATTTATTATTTTTTTATTTTTTTTTG